TTTAACTTGTACAAAACATAGGGCGTCCATGTTGATTGAAAGCCAAACAAATTAATGATTCTGAATAGCCCACGAACCAATAAAATTTGATGAAAAACAGCTTTAAATAGAAAATTCACATTCATGTTTAGACTCGTTCGAGTTGTCAATGTGCACTGAATATAAATCTTACACTTTTATAGAAAAAATCAATAAAAAGTATAATGACCTAAAATATATTTTTTTTAAGAGATGATGTGTTGTATATTCTCTGTTTTCATATTCCTTGTTCATTGTGTAGTATCGTCGTGAGTGTATTCTACATCACATTGCTGATCTCGGCTACACTCAACAACTAAGAGCAGCACTCGGGATTTCTGCAGGCAATGTGAATAGGCGAGACAGGGTACGTATAGGAAACAACACATTATTCATTGTAAACACTGAATGACAAATCGTCATTATGTAATTAATAAATTACTCATAAAATTATAACTAAATATTTAATATTAAATATAATTATGGCTGTAAAATACTGTATTTAATACTTTTATTAATGTTCAATTGCTTTATTGTGTGGTTTTAACCGTTGTGTGAAAGCTAAGCAAATTAATGATTCTGAATCAAAATTTCATGTTTGAAGGGCGTAGCCTACATGTTTGTGATAGCCAAACGAATGAATGTTTCTGAATCACTCATATGAGTAAAAAGCGTGTTTAAAATTTCGGGAAATCAGCTTTACCTGGGATTTTTTCAGCCATTTTGGACTTGATTTTGTTTCTATTAGTATTGTACACAGAATAATGATGTTTACATTTTGCATTACATATGCCTATTTCTACATATGTAGGCCTAGGCTGCTAGGCCGGGCTATGTAGCCCAGCCTAGCCTATATGTATGTACGCGAGACAAAGCATAAACAATTAAAAAGGCTGTACAGAAAACAGCAAAAAATACAGCAAGGTTTCAACCTGGCCACTTTTTGACAAGTAGTTAATTTATTAGGATTGGAATAGGAAGAAAGGCTAAATTCCACTGTATGTTAACTACGGTATTTATTAGACTCAACCTACTACCTCTTGACATAGGCCTAATTCAGGAACCACAAGTCTGTGAAATTTTTGGTAAACTTTTAATGATAGTTTATAAAATGTTTTCTTCTCTTTAGTATAAAATTTATAATTGATTAAGTATTAGGCATGCATTAGGATGTTTTTTTCTTCAGTTGAAATTCAGTGTGCATATGGGCTTGGCTTTTATCCAAATAATCAAGTAGGTCAAACTATACACAGTGAGCTTTTTGCAAAAATCAGGCTATAGGTTCCCTTTTATATTATACACTTGCCTAGGACTTTCTTATTTCTTCACTCAATTGCCTGGTCAACTCAGACAGGAAACAAGAAAAAACATGCCTTCTGTTATTTATTCATGATAGTTATGTAACATTATTTATACATACAGCAGGTATGCTTTGTAAAATCCACCTCTATTAAATCGATATGTATTGATTGAAGAGTACCATAGAATTAGCAAATATTATTTTTCGTTCATTGATCTAATCTTAGATTTTGTCATTGTCAAAAAGCAAATTTACTAAAATAACAACAATGCTGTGATTAGCAATTTTTCTCCTGAATAAACCTGCCTGTTTTGAATTAAGGTGTTGTTATTGTTTAGCTTCCTCATAGCCCTAATAATAGTTTAAAACATATTTTTATATAAAATATTTTTTAAGGTACTAATTCAGAACATCATTAAAATTGGTCTATATCAGCGTCAAAATAGAATATTTTTTTGGGCCCTTTGGCCACTGGAATTCCCCACGTGGGGCCTTCGCGGCACCCTGGTCTCCAGCCTCATTGCTCACTTCGCTTGCAACCTGACCACTTTAATTCTTGTGGCTACAGCCCTGTTTGAGCTGTCAATGTATACAGTTGTATTTTTTGACGGATGCTTACAAGTATGTTAATATTACTCATGACACAGGCGAGTATCATTCAAAACATATGCTCGTCATCTAAACACACTGATGTTGGATGTATTGCAATTAACTTGTTTAGCGTTAGTGCGTACTGCACTGCAGCACAATCGGCATACGCACAAGTAATGTGTAGAGATCAAAACAATCGACGACCGCTACAACAACAGTTTGAATATTTCAGTGCAGTAGATAGCGATTGACTTATTATAAAACAATCAGTGTAGTTTTATATTCTACATACGAAGGTTAAACTTATGCATAAAAAAACATTATACAAACACAAACTATTTTGTTGAGTTGAATGGCCGAGCGGTTAAGGGAGGCGCCGCTACCTATAGCCATAACATTCGGCGCTGGTTCGAACGGCACGCTCGCCTATGGTTCCGGAGGTGGAACAAGTCTTCTCGGATAAGGACTTTAAACCGTAGGCCCAGTGTACACATTTGGCTCTGTCTCTTATACACATCTAGATGTGTATAAGAGACAGAAATAATACTGAGAGAGGTTAACAATTTTGGTGGTCCATTCATTCAGCCTCTCCTGCGTCCTAGCTGGTGCCAAACGTAGTGCACCCTTGCACTCCTTTGGACCCCACCAGTGATGGAAATAGAGGGGGATTCTGACGCATGGGCAACCCAGGATCTCCAAATTCACTGCCCAGGCACACGCCATTGTTCATGGCGTATAGCATCGTCTTCCGAGACGGCTGGCCTATATATGGGTCGGTTGCTGAAGATGAACTACAGAATGTACAGTACATTGTAGCTAATGTGTTATAGGTAGTAAAAGTTGTGTTGAAAAAAAAAAATCTTTCGAATAAAACAATCTGTCACTTGACATTAGGAATTAACTGCAGTCATTTTGAAACAAAATAAAATAATAAGCTATAAGATTTCTCCATCTGGCAAATTTAGGGTACGCCCTATCATGTCAAGTGTTATACTGAACAGTGGCGAATTCAAGGGGAAGCCCAGTCAGCACTGGGCCCCAACCTCCTATTTTTTCAAAAATATATAACAAAAAAAAGGAGAAAACAGACAAAATTGTATTCTACTTTTAATCTGAAAGTTTCATCTAGGTGCCATGATATTTTTTTTTCTTACCAGCCACACCGTTGTGGGACTGAGATGGGTCGACACTCCGTTTGAGCAACACCCTGTCCGGGTTCCCTTTATTTCAACTTCCTGGACCCGATACAGTTGGAGTATCATTTCTGGGCTACTATAGAAGGGCAAAATGTTTATCCATTGGGGGAAAAATAAAGGTTTCATCGGGGAATACCCATATCAAGTATACCCCTCATGATAAATAAATCATTTAGATTGTGGATTGATCGATTGATTGCTTGATTGAATTTATTCAATGCTCAACATGCACAAACAATATGAAAAAAATTTGGGAGCAAGAAAAGTAAAAATTAATGAGCATCAGGAGCGCTCATTCAATCTTGATTCGGATATAAAGAAAATTATATTTAAATTCTATGTCTGGATATATTTATTTTCCATGTATCTAGAGGTGCCAGAATCAATTTTTTTCTTTCCAACTATGATGGACTGAGGTGTTATACACCCTCCATTCTCCCCTCCCGAGCCCACTCTAATTTTAATTCCTGGATCCGCCACTGGAAATTACAACAAATTATGAAGTCGTATTACAATAGCTTGATGCCTATAAAATAACTAATAAAATCCACCAAACATTCTCAAATATCCATAGCTTCTAAGGTCCAAGGGGGCCCATGGCCCCAGCTTCGATACTCGCTCGCCTTATGAAATCCCCCCCCCTCAAAAACGTTCCGCCGCCATTGAATAAACGCCCCCTTCAGAGCATCATTTGGAATAAAGCCTCCCTCAAATAAACTCCCCCCTTCCCCTAAGATGGCTGTAAAAACAAATAATGGAAGCAATGTTATTCTCAACACATCTATTAATGTTCTACCTGGGATGGATTAATAAGTCTTAATGATCACGCAATAACACATATTGATTGTAATCATGTACATTTAATGTAAAACTAAGGGGCGTTTATTTGAGCATAATCGTGTCCATTTCAAAAAAAAAAAAAAAAATCCTCCCGGCCCTCTCTAAACGCCTCTCAAAAACCATTTTCAGTAATAAAAAGCCTGTCGCGTTTATTCAAATAATACAATATTTATTGTGTATTCAGATTATGCTATCCTTAAGCAAATTGTCATGAAAAATTGTAATGAAAAAAATAAAATTATATATAGATATATATATATATATATATATATATATATATATAAAATTAAGTTAATTAAGTTAATTTAATCAACTATGAGTGTCTCTTGATTGACAATAATTATTCACATTATTTATATGCAATCCTTTGTACATTAATGAGCTGTCACTGATTATTAACACTGTTATCAATTGTGTTGCAGGACGGCAATACTCCACTTCACATGTTGTTACAAGCTAACCATTTGTTTCAAGATCACATAGACGCAGCCAGATATATCTTAGAAGCTGGAGCAGATACCAACCTAAAAAACAAAGTAAAGTATATACATTTTAACGGTGATGAGCATGATAATGATAATGCTGATAAAGACGTTAATAATAATGGTAATAAGGAGCATACTAAAATTAACGAGGCCATGATGATGTCGATATTTTAAAAGCGACTAATGATATTAAGATGCCTATTCATTATCGTTGATTTTGTCAACGCTTCAGTGTTACTCTCATCACTATCATTAAAAAAAAAGAAAATGATGGTTATGAAGACGACGACGATCAATACAAACAACCTTTATAGCGCCAAATTCCATCCTGTAATGATGTAGCTGTAAGCCTACCACGACACATAAAGTGTTTTCGTAATTGTTACCTCTGATCCTACTCCCTTCAATTAGCATAACATGAATCTCTACACAATGCAAATATAAAATTAAAAGAATAATTAAATAGAATGTAAATTTATTCAATTAATTTTTTTGTTATGATTTTTATTTTGTATAATATTTGTTGAAGCTGAGGTATGATCTGTGATTGTCATTGCAGCGTGGTCGAACTCCAGCTGAAGTGTATAAGAAGAACAAATGTAGGAAATACGATTCTACAAGCAAACAATCACAGAAAGAAACGCTCATGCATCTCATAAAAAGTGAGCTGTTCATAAGAACATAAATTTATATTTAATTAATATTCTTTTTGTTTCATATTGATTATTTGTTTATTCATTTTTTGTATATTTAGCATGAAACGTTTAAGAAACGATCGTCTTTTATGTGCGTAGATCTATATTGGTTATTATTATATTGGCCGGCTATATACAGTAGACCTATGTGTAATATACAGTGTACATTCAGTGGTGACGCCAGCATCTGAAATCTGGAAAAGGTGGGGGGGGTGCTGGAGAGCAAGTGAGGGAAAGGTAAAATTGTAGGAGGAAATATGCTAGGGTGGCCCGAAATGGGCAGGTTGGGCGTCGCTCAGAATGTCTTGAAAGTGGTCCAGGGGGGGGGGGGTCGAAACCCCTGAAAAATATGACAATTTCAGAGGCTTATTTAATCGATTTTATAGATAGACTCACCCTGGCACCGCCACTGTGTTGGCCTATATTATATATGGTAGTATACATTTATTATTTTATTATTATCAATTATCTTTTTAGAGCGTCATAACCACTAGACCACGAAGGCTTCATGGTTGAACAGGTCCAAATAACCGTCGGGAACATTGTATTACACAATGGTACTCCCCAAGAAGGCGGTCGGCCAGATATTTACTTTATTTGTTGAAAAGCTACTAAGGTAGCCTACGATGTTCCATCAAGTCCTTATTAAACACTGTATGTGTACCTTTGATGATTTATATTATATTTATTCAACAGTGTTAACGGATAACTTCCTACAATATACGACAGTATTTATTCCTAGCCGTGATCTCCAGATTTATCTGGCCAAACGCCCTCTTGAGGAGTACCGTTGTGTAATACAACGTTCCTGACAGTTATTTGGACCTGTTCAACCATGAAGCCTTCGTGGTCTAGTGGTTATGACGCTCGCCTTGTCAGCGAGAGGTCGCAGGTTCGAATCCCGAACTATAGGACTTCATTTCTTGAAAAGCTACAGGGTAGACTATGATGATCCATCATTTCCTTATTAAACACTGTATATGTACATTTGATGATTTATATTATATATACACACACACATATATATATATATATATATATATATATATATATTTAATTATTATTATTATTACCTGTATTATTATGTATTTTAAATTCTAATAAATATACTTTTATCACTTTCTTTTCAAATGTTCTTAACGCATTTAACATTAAATTCGAGTTAGAATTCGAAGTTCCTGAGGAAATATTAGCTAGAGGTAAAGAAGCTGTGAGGGTTTTTAACGAGGAGTTGGAAAATGGAAAAATCACAATAAATCATGCACGATTAATGGTGGGTGGAAAGCAGGGTGTTGGAAAAACCAGTTTGGTAAACACTCTGCTTGGAAAACCGTAAGTTTCTGAAGTCTTTGTCAGTGCATGTAATATCCATTTGTGTAGGCCTACTTTTTCTTTGAATATTTTAAGTCTGTGATGATTGTAGTACCTGGGATTATTGGAAATAATGTGTAATACACACACCCACATTATGCATACAGATAGTTTGGAATCCCGAGTGGGTGGCGATTTTTTCACACTCGCACATTTCTATTATATATACAATATATTCTGAAGAAGGTTGCAGGGACGACTGAGCATTTGTGTATAAATAAATATATTTATGTTCCCGAAATACGTTAACCCTTGTTTTCTATCACTTGTGATCAGTTTCATTATATTTAATTCCTGCATTTACCTTTTCACAGATTTAATGACAAAGAACCATCAACCGATGGGATAGTATTGAGAACAGCATTTCAAGCTACTAACGTTGATTGTAGTGAGTGGGAAGAGGAAGAGGATATTGACGGTATTAGAACAAATCCCCTATATAACTTTAGATTAAAACATCTTTTTGTATCTTGTTGATATGCTGCGACTTTTTCAAACTACTGTTTGAAATTATAATTTCATTTGCAGATTGTAATCGGATCAAACAGATACGTGATAATGCAATAGAAGATAAAGTTGCTGAGAAATTAAAATTTATAGGAAAGCAAACAGAGGAACACAATTCGGCACCTAAACCAGCAGTTGAACCTGTAAATGAACCAGCAGTTGAACCTGTAACTGAACCAGCAACTGGAACAATACTTGAACGAGAAGCTGAACTGATGCCTGAACCAGCAGCTGAACCGATATCTGAAGGAGCAGTTGAACCTGTAACTGAACCGGCAGCTGAACCGATATCTGAACCAGCAGTTGAACCGATATCTGAACAAGCAGTTGAACCTGTAACTGAACCAGCAGCTGAACCGATACCTGAACCAGCAGCTGAACCGATATCGGACTGTCTCTTATACACATCTAACGCAAAAAAATTAATTACCAGATTATTAATATTTCAAATAATGTAGAATTACGTCATTTGTTAATATGCACATTTTTGATATGGTGTTTACTTGGAAAACGTTTGAAGAAGATCCAAGCATGGAAATGAAACTGGCAGACAGAAAACCATGTGCAAAAACATAGGGAAAGGCGATTTTAAGAAAAAAAAAATCAGAACAAAAACATGGCTTTTCCACGGGTGCGCGGGCGAGCCATTAATTATAATTATATGATAAATCGAAATTCTACAACAAAAATTATAAAACTTCTAGCTCTTTTATTCTACAAGGAATAACAATAAATGACATGCAATGACGCAATGAGCAAGTTTACCGTGAGTTCGTTTGAATAAATGAAAAAATTGGTCAAAGCTAAATTATACCGTGCCGTATTTCACAAGTCCTTAAAATAGACGATTTTATTCAGCAACAGA